ATGTGAAATCCCATCTCTATCCCAGCCCAGATCCCTTAGGGATCAAGTTTTGACTCCACTGACTCCATCCCTTCTTGGTCCTTTCCTTTGTTGAAGTATTATAAAACCGTCCCCTCCCAATAGTTCATCATGCTGCTGTGGGGCTGGTTATACTGGAGGCATGTTTGCCATCGACCATCTCCAGTAATAAACAGAATAGATGTATCTATTAAAGTGGCCAGTATGGGGCTGGAGAGATGGCTCAGGGGTTAGGAGCACTGACTGCTCTTCTAGAAGACCCGAGTTCAATTCCCAGCACCCACATGGCAGCTCACACCTGTCTGTAACTCCAGTTTCAGGGGACCCCAACACCCCTGGCAAAAACACAAATGCACATAAAAATAAAATTATAAAATATATAAAATAATATATATATTTTTATATATATTTCTACAAAGCAAATTCAGCCAGGACTGTTACACAGAGAAATCCTGTCTCAGGGGTGGGTGGGGTGGGGTGGGGTGGGGCAGCCAGTACTGAGACCACTCAAGCACATGGCAAAATCCTGCAACAGAGAAGATACAGAGAGGAAAGGAGCCCTGACCAGTGGTGCTTGCCCTCCTGTTGGGCAACACGGCTACAATACCTGCTTGGGGTCCTAGACAAAAATGGAGAAATCCAGGGGGAAGCTGAGGATCGGGGTGGAGATGGCAAGCCTTTTATTTTTTTCATCCCAATGTTCTCTAGGGTCCCTATATCATCTGCTCAAGCCAACATCTTCCTGAAGCAGGTCAAGGATTGACTAGAACCTGCAGGTGGGGTGGGGCTACAGGAGCACAGAGGACCTCAGTGCAGACTCCTGACCTGAGTGAGGCCTTACCAGCCTTCCTGCAAAAGCCCCATTTTGTTTTGTTTTTTCCTTCGAGACAGGGTTTCTCTGTGTAACAACCCTGGCTGTCCTGGATCTTGCTCTGTAGACCAGGCTGGCCTTGAACTCACAGAGATCCGCCTGGCTCTGCCTCCTGAGTGGTGGGATTAAAGGCATCTGCCACCACCGCCTGTTTTTTTTTTTTTTTTTTTTTTTTTTTTAAATAACTCTTTTGGCTCTTTGCTCTTTTGAGGGGCCCACCACCTAGCTCCAAAATAAATCACACGGAGGCTTATTCTTACTTATAAATGCCTGTCCTTGGCTTGTTTCTTGACAGCTTTTCTTAACTTTAAATTAGCCAATCTACTTTTGCCTTTGGGCTATTTCTATATACTTTTCATTATTTCTTACTCCATGGCTTGCTGTGTAGCATGGCTTGCTGTATAGCTGGGTGGCTGCGTGACTGGCCCCTGAAGTCCTCCTCCTTCTCTTGCTCCTTCTTTTCTTCCCAGATTTCTCCTATTTATTCTCTCTGCCTGCCAACCCTGCCTATCCTTTCTCCTGCCTCGCTATTGGCCATTCAGCTCTTTATTAGACCATCAGGTATTCAGACAGGCAAAGTAACCCAGCTTCACAGAGTTAAACAAATGCAACATAAAAGAATGTCACATCTTTGCATCATTAAACAAACGTTCCACCACATAAACAAATGTAACACATCTTAAAATAATATTCTACAACACCCCCCTCTGATCCCAGGAGGTCAGACTGACTGCAAGGCTGCCTGCTTTGTGTGCTGTCAGGGGTGGGGAGGTCACCATGCAGTTATTGGATGGTCTAGAAAATGTGTGCACCCAAAGGCAGCCTGCCCATCTGGATACCCATGATAAGACGGTGAGCCAGCCTTAAATGGTTCTCAGGACCAGCAATTGCAGTAGAAGCTTATCTTGAACTGATAAGTGTGATACGTCGGTTTGTCCCGGGGAAAATGAGACCCATTTTAGAGCATGGCTTATAGGCATACAGAGGGTCAGCAGACCTCCTTATATGAATCATCCAGTCTTTGGAAGCTCAGAACCCGGCAAACAGAAGGTGCTGACTTAATGCTCATTCTCTCAAGTGCCATGCTGAGTCCAGGGTTATCTTCACCATCTCTGGAGAAACAGAGATGATTGTGGGCAGCTAGAGAACTCCAAGCTGTATTCCGAGCTGTGCACTTAATCACTTGGGGACCATGAGACTGGCATGGCTCAGTTTCCTTCATTTGTCAGCATACTGATTCCTCTCTGCTTGGGCCTTTAATTAATTTGATGTTGCAAACATTTGCTAAGCCTTAAGAAAACCTAGGATCAAAACCAACCAAGCAAGCAAACAAAAGCTGGGTGTGGTGGTGTCCACATTTAATCCCAACACTTGGGAGACAGGCAGGGGCAGGTGGATCTCTGAGTTCCAGGACAGCCTGGTCTACAGCGTGAGTTCCAGGACAGCCAGGGCTATACAGAGAAACCCTGTCTTGAGAAAAAATAAATAAATAAAAGTCCCCCTTCAATCCCATGATTCCTTCTCTGTCTCTTATTCACCATCCACAAACTCAAGAACCGTCTACTCTGAGGTCTCCATGTCTCTATTCCCAGCCAGTCTTCCAGGCACTGCAACTCACACTATTCCACCTGAATGATCTCGGCTCAGGGCTTCTAAATGGAATGGAGTTACCTGCCAATCAGATCTCTCCCAAAGCTCTCACACTGTTGCTCACTCCTCCTTGGACCCTGCCCACCCTACCACCCTGCCCCTTCAGCTGTACGATCTGTGTTGTTTTGGCAGGCTCAGCTTCTGTTCTGAGCTCTAGCCTCCACTGACTTCACTTCTCATCTCCAAAACACAGCAAACTCAGCATGCTAGAATGGAGCTCACTCCCTTCTCTCTCCCTGTAATCCTGCCTGCTCCTGTGAAAAATCTGCAGGGATCTCTGACACCTCTTCCCATCACACTGCCTTAGGCCTTTTTCTGTTATTTTTAACAAAATACTTGATACTGGATTATTTATTTATTGAAATAGGGTGTCATGTAGTACAGGCTGGTATCGAACTTCTGATTCTCTTGTCTTTTCTTCCCAAGTGATGGGGTTACAGGCAAGTATTCACCATGCCTGGTGAGACTGGAAGATATAAAAAATAGAACTTGTGTTTGGCTCAAAGCTCTAGAGGCTGGGAAGTCCAAGAGACAGCACTTGCATCCAATGCCTTTCTGCTTCATCATGGCATGGCAGAGTATCACCTGAAGGAGTAAGTGTGTTATCTGGTTTCTACAAATTTCATCATGGGGCCCTGACCTCATTTAATCCTAATGCATCCATCTCCCAAAGACCCTACCTCAATGACCATGACCAAGTACTAGATGAGTTTTACGTTTACATTTCCAAGAACTGAACTTTTAGAGTACACAATTCAAACTACCCCAAACCAATACCCAAGCCCCAGTGATTTTATATCTTAAATAAAATCCACCCTCTACCACCAGCGAAGTCAACTACTATCATTGATCGCCTACAATAATCCTTTTTACTTGACCTTTTTGTCCCCATTCAGTTTCCATAAAACTTTACTCTGTTCTCCTCAGTCAGAGAACCAATGGGCCCATGTCAAGAGCTGGCTTAGCAACCAGTAACTTTTTTTCTTTTTCCTTTTTCTTTTTCTTTCTTTCTTTCTTCTTCTTTTTTTAGACAGGGTCTCTTTATATATAGCTCTGAGTGTCTTGGAACTCACTATGTAGATCAGCCTAGCTTTAAACTCTCAGAGTTGCCTACCTCTGCCTCCCATGGCCTGGAATTAATGGCATGGACCACCATACCCTGCATAGCCCAGTAACTTTCCATTCGACCTCCAAGTGACCACCACCTCCAGCCTGCAGCCACATTCTCTTCATTCCTCCTCCATCTGTTTCAGCCTTGGGCCCTGTGCTTCTGCTGTAACTGGTTTTGAGACAGGATCTTGCTATGTAGTTGTTAACAGAGAGGTCTCCAGTTTCCTTTGTTGTCTGTCCCAGTTCGTTCTTATGCTCTTGGGAAAGAAGAATTCAGGCAGGACACAGTAATCAAATTTAATTAGAGCAAGCAAGGAAGAATATAAGAGAAAGAGCAAGTGAACCCAAGCATCAACTGCCCCAATCGATCTTAGCAGGCAAGATGCTTACATACCTCTTTCCCTTATCCCTCCCCTAGGGGAGGCATTTCCACAAAAGGAGCCCGTATTCCCAGAATTCACTCTGCCTAGATGTATGAGATGCAAGAATATGTCTGAGGCTTAAAGTAGCCTTAAAAGTTCACTAGGGGAGAGAGTAACAGACCTCTGCTGTCCTGGAGAGGAAGTCCCCTAAGGTTGCTTCGATCTGACCTGGTTAAGATCCACCACTGTCACGCCTCATTCTTTGCATCCCGTTGTTGGTCTCCTGAGCTGGCCCATCTGGGTTTGATCACTGTCACTATCTTTATGTCTTGAGTGTCAGCCCACCATTATCTTTACACCCTGTCTCAGGGCCCTGAGCTGGCTCAGCTGAAGGACCTTATTTTTCATGTCTTAGTTTCGGGAGTCTATTTGTCAATCCCTTCCAGAACTAACTCAGGCTACCCTCCAACTTGTTATCCTCCTGCCTCAGCCTCCTAAATTCTGGAATTACAAGTATGACTCGACTCTCCACATCCAGTTTCTGCACCGCTGTGGAACATACTCCTGCTTTGAGCACCAGCAATACCTGTCAGGTGCCAGCTGACGCCACACTCCCATGCTTAACTTCACTCCTGAGCATTTACAACTATTCGGAATTGCAGTTTTCCCCAACGCTAAGGTCAACTAGTTTGGCTCCGTGTGGCCTCCACTATAAGGTCAAGCAGTCACCCAAGGCTCTTGTAGACTGAATCATTCGCTCTCCCCTGCCCCCTCCCCGACAAAGCGCCTTAAATAGGATCTCGGGATCCCCATAGAAAAGAATCCTGGAGAAAGCGCACACATAAGGACCCCAAGGAATAAGAAAGATTGCCAAGGTGCTTCGCATTCTTTCCGCTGGGGGACGAGAGTAGACAACCGCGCCTGTAGGACACGCTCTTCTGCTGCACCTCCTCCGCTCCGCAGGGGGCGCTGTGGATAAATGGGGGGGGGGGGGGTGAGACGCCGTCGGCGGGGCCGCTCTAGCCACCCATTTATTTCGCTGCTCGGAGAGACTGCCGCGCCGCGGGGGCCTCCAAGATGGCGGCGCAGAGGAGGAGCCTGCTCCAGAGTGTGAGGAAACCGACCCGCTCTCCGGGCTGGGAGGGTTGGGAGCTCGGGGGTGTCCTCGGTGCAAGAGCGGTTGTCTTTAGATGGCAGGGTGTGGACCTCCTCGCCCCAGAGATCCGTGGGTGTTTGCAGCGCGCCCGCAGCCCGTGGGAGGCTGGCGCCTCGCCTGCTCTGCGCGTGCGCGCTGCAGGCCGGGCCTTCGGGGGGTCAAGGGCGCCGGGGTCCTGTGGAGTGGGAGCGTCCTGGAGCCGGAAGGGGACGTGGCTCCGCCGAGCGGTCCATCCGGAGCGCGGACAGGACTAATAATAAATAGCCCCGGTTATGTAAGGCGGGCTGTATCTCGGGCATTGTGTTGACCGCCTCACACTCATAAACTTCGCAGCAACACCAGAAGATAGCTCGGTACAATAGTTAACTTCTTTTTCAACAGATGAGGAAACCGAGGCCACACAACGGGTGTGAACGGCAGAGGCAGGATTAAAATCAGTCTGCTTTTAGAAATGTCCCCGAGCTTTAGGTTACTCAAAGAAGTGGTGACTTGGAGTTTTGGTTCTGCCTCCCAATTCACCAGATTCCCTTTGGCCTCACTCAGGGTCCTTTCTCTAAGGTGAGAATGCCACCCCTCCATGGTAGTCTGGACCTCCGCGGGTTTGATGCAGTCTTCCTGCCCCTGCATCTTTCCCACACGTGTACACAGTTACACGTGCATGGTTGCAGCACAGATCTTTGGATCGGCCAGAACGCTGATCCCCGGGTCGATGTCTGTGCCTCCTGAACTAGAATGTGGATTCCTTGAAGGCAGGGACTTGTGACCCCCTGCTTAGCGAGTTGACTCCACCACTAACCATTCTTGCATGCTAGGCGCTTGGTCGGTGTTTGTAACATCAGGAGAAAATTGGTCTGGAACTAGGCCTTGGCTTTGCAAGGAAGAGGGGAAATGGCACGCCTGCTCTTGAGGGTCAGAAGCGTGAGAAGTGGAAGGAGGGGGATGACCTTTACTATTGTATGCCTGTGTAGGCCTTTGTAAAACCGGAAATGGCGAGGTCTGGCTTTCTGCTTTGTTGGGTCCCTGAGGGCAAGGCCCTTGGATAAATGTCTCCATTGTAGAAAACATCTCTGGAACATTGATATGTTGTGGCCCCGAGAGAAAGAGGGGCTGGAAAAAAAAAATAGTAAATGATGCATGCTGAGTTGGCTTGCTAAGGAGAGAATAGTCACCTGGGTCAAATCGCTTCTCTGTCTCCTAGATGTGATGGAGCCCAAACAACTCCAGTCAGGTAGAAGGTAGACTTTTCCCAGCACCAGAATGTGTTCTCTGCGTGCTGGTGGACTTAGGTGGGTGGGGAGTGGATAGCTTTTAACACATAGTATCTTGATGTAAGGGAAGGGGCAGGCAAAGATAACTGCCATCCTCAAGGGTATGTTAGTGTCCAGGCCAGGCGGGATACAGGGCTTGTTGACCTGTCCTCTGTCCTGAATCTGGTGAGAGCAGTTCCAACACCTGTATTCTGCAGATGGCCTGGAAAGCGGTTAGTCTGCGGCTCTTGGGCCTTGGTGGTGGGAAGATGCATCGGCAGGTGCCCGTGCTCACTATGTTCTCAGCCCAGCTTGGGAACAGGAGCATATGCCATAGCACAGTGGGTAAGGTATAGTCAGTGTGGACTTCTGTCAGGAGCCCTGGACAGGCAGCAGAGAGCCCAAGAGGCTTTAAAGGATGCTATTTTTGCAAGATGGGAGAGGACGGACACCCGAAGGGAATGCAGGTTTAAATGTGTGTGAGGTGTCTGTATAACCCATCATGGTCAGATACAGCTCAGTGCTATAGGTCTGTGTGTTGAGAGGTAGTGAGGCTTGTGGGATAGGCTGGTGGTGGGCTCATACTTGGCAGGTTGGTAGAGTATCTGGCAGAAAGGTATGCTAAGGGATTTTTACCTACCCTCTCTAGGCAGTGTGGTACTTTAAAAGGTCTTTTGAAGAAAAGAGGTTTTTTTTTTTTGATAGCTTTGTGTATGTGTATTTCATTTGTTTTTAATTAATTCATTATTATTATTTGAGACAAGGTTTTTCTGTGTAGCCCTAGCTATCCTGGAACTCACTTTGTAGACCAGGCTGACCTTGAACTTACAGAGATCTGTCTGCCTCTGCCCCCCAAGTACTGGGATTAAAGCTGTGCACCACCACCAGGCTAAATTAATTTTTCAAAAATTCTATGTGTACGAGTATTTTGCCTGCATATAAGTGTTCTAGGTGCATGCCTGGTGCCTGTGGAGGCCAGAAGGAGGCACCAGGTTCTCTGGAACTGAAGTTAGACAGTTGTAGGTCACCATGTGGTGCTCGGAACTAAACCTGGGTCTTCTGGAAGACAAGCAAGTGCTCTTAACTACTAAACCATCCCTCTAGTACAGAATTTGTTTCTTTGGTTGTTTGTTTTGAGACTCCAACATAGTGATGTAGCACTGACTAGCCTCCAATTCACTATGTAGATCAAGCTGGCCTTGAACTCAGAGATCTGCTTGCCTCTGCTTCTGGAGTGCTGGGGTTAAATACATGCATCACCACAGCGAGCTCAGAAAAGTGGTCTTAAAGGAAACTTTAGACCAGTGATTCTCAGCCTTCCTAATGTTGTGACCCTTTAATACAGTTCTTCATGTTGTGGTGACCCCCAACCATAAAATTATTTCATTGCTACTTCATAACTGTAATTTTGCTACTGTTATAAATCTTAATGTAAATATCTGATATGCAACCATTGTGGGTCCTTAGACCCACAGCGAGACCCACAGGCTGAGAAAAAGCTGCTTTAGAAAAACCCAGCCGGGCTGGACGATGGTGGCACACGCCTTTAATCCCAGCACTTGAGAGGCAGAGGTAGGCGGATCTCTGTAAGTTCGAGGCCAGCCTGGTCTACAAAATGAGTTCCAGGACAGCCAAGACTGTTACACAGAGAAACCTTGTCTCAAAAAACAAAGAAAGAAAAGAAAAACCCAGCCCTTGTGGCCTGAAAAAACCAAGTCCCTTATAGCAGTTTCTCCAATCCAGAAGGGCTGCCCCAAGAATTGATACTATTAAATGAACTGTCACAATACTCTCCAAGTTTGGTTACCCTCAGCTATGGGGGCTCTGTAAACACCAGGGCCAACAGAGTAACCATCTGAGTGAGTGAAGCAAGAAGGAATTCCGCTTCAACACGACCTAGTTACTGGTGCTGGTTCAAACCTCTAGAGTCTGACACTGAGCAATTTATTTTAGACATATTTAAGTACAGTTCAACTTTGGAAAAAAGTTTCCCGGTGACAGTTATCACAGTAATGCTCAAGGAGTGACTACGTCAGAACTCTTTGCAGTCCGTGAGAATTAGTTCTACTGACTGAGGAACTGTGCTCAGGATAAAGGTCTAGGGAGGAGCAGTCTGGGATAAACAGTAGTCTGGAGATTGAGCTGTGGCCTGGCCCTACAGACAGCACAGATCACCAGACTCTCAACTACATTCATTCTCAGCCCTTCAGGCAGAAACTGGTATCCAGCCCTTCCAGTGAAGAGACAACCATGCGTGCTTAACATTCCTGGTCTCCCTAGTGCTCATCTGTGCCCTCTACTCTCAACCACCAACTTCTGCCTTAGTGCTGCCCAGAGTGGTCCCCTGAAGTGTCTGAGTGTCCCTCCTGTGGCAGGCATCGTGCAGGTGCTGGGGACACTGCCCTCATGAAGCTTATATTCTCGTGAAGGAGCCAGGTGGCAGACAGCGAATACAGATTATGTATAATTTATAGTATCTAGTGCACCCTGAAGTCCAGAAACAGAAGGGCAGGGTCGTTTCCAACACGGTGGTAGGAATAATAACAACATGGTGGGATGTGGGAGAGGATAACGTGTTTGAAAGCCTGCCATTTTCAGGAGTGCCATTTTCAAAGAGGCCAGTGTGGCTGGAACCCTTGGGGAAATAACCATAGTCTAACGGCACTATTGGCTTAGTGACTGCTGCTACAGCCTTCAGATTCTGCAGGTGATGGGAAGTTTCTGAGGGATTTCAGCAGGGGCCTGATGACATCTGATTTTTGGTTAGAGAAAAAAATCCTCTTGGGTTTGAGTGGTAAGAGGGGAAGCCTGGGGCCTGCTGAACATCTGGCTGGTGTGAGAGAACATTGGTTTGCCCAGGATGATAGAGTGGGTGGGAAATATCAGTGTGGCTGCCTTTTGGAGACAGCTGACAGTTACTGGTGAATGGAGTTGCCTGTGAGGTACGTGGCCGATGGAGACGAGCCAAAGACTCCAGGGTGCTGTTTGAGCATCACCTGTTGCCATACATGGAGTAAGGAGCCCTGGAACAGGAATGCCTTTGGGGCAGGAGAACTGAGGGTTTGGTTTGTCACTGTGGCACATAACTGTAATACCGGCCTCAGAGGCTAAGTTGGAAGTTCTGGGTCACTTGAGACCAGGTGTCTGAGGCCAACCTCGCAACATAGTAAGATGATGTCTCATATAGATATAGAGTTTAAAAAAGAAAAGAATATCAACCCGAAATCATTTTTAGACTTAGATTTGTCCTGAGCAATTATATTTACTAAATCACAGGTGCTACGTAGATATTTTTTTCTGGTGTACCTTAAATAAGTACTGGGCTGGTGGGTGTACTCCATTGGTAGTGTTTGGGTTTGATTCCCAGCGCCTCATTAAACTGAGCTTGATGGCATAAGCCTGTAATCCTAGCACTTGGGAGGCAGGAGCAAAAAGGTCAGGCTATATGAGACCTTGTTGCTAAACAAGTTTGTCCACTGAAATGAAAACATCTATTTAGGAAGAAGAAAAAAATCCAGGGCTGATGATATAGCTCAGTGGAAGAGTATTTGCCTGGTGTGCACAAGGCCTTGGGTTCCATCCCCAGACACTGGGTGGGGGCGGGGGGGGGGGGGGAATGGGACGGCGTGGAGAACCAAGTTGGTTAGGTCATCACCTGTAGCTGTTCACCAGCCATCAGGAACGAGGTCCAGCTGCTGTGCTGGTCC